GGCAGCCATTACAGACGAACATGTGTTTGTTGTTGTTCCAGGAACAGCTCGGTCACACACTAATGTCATTAGTTTGTTATCATTACTGAGCTGCAGGGCTGATTTTTCCCCCTTTTTTCACATCATGTCTCCTGATGGATCTGTTATTATCTCACTCTGAAGCACGGACAGCGTGGTCTCATTTCCGGACTCAATAATTTTGTGAATGAAGCCGATATTTCAGTTAAAAATACTGAAATAACTATTAGCTTCAGTTCTGCTCAGATCACATCCACATTGAGTTAAATAAGATCAAATCCTTTTTCTTGTGAAATGAGATGTTTTTCTGCTTCTCTTCTCTTGGTAAATCCATAACACAAAACGCTTTTCTGACATTATTTAAAACATTAGATTATATACACCAATATATTAATGATAATTTAAATGTATTATCAATAATATATAGTTTTTACAAATTTTACATAAACTCTAGGAAGTCTGTAGAAAGCTAACACAGATAAATGATTGTATAGAGAGAGACTAATCAGTGCTTTAAGTCGAGCTCATACACTGATGGGACACACCAGAGACAGAGGTGGCGGGGCAGTGTCCTGCCCAGGAACACTTCACATGTGACTGAATGGTGGGGGAATCGAACTGCCAACTCTCTCATTAAAGAATGATTCCCCTAACCACTCAGCCTCAGCCGCCCTCGTAGTCACCTGATTGGATTTATTGGTGTGTTTGTTGGTGAGTCACCAGATCATGGGACAGTTTTTGGAACGTCCTGTCATGGTGTCACATTTTTGTTCATCAATCGGATGAAGCCTGGTTTGGTGCTTTAGTCACATGTGTGTTGACTTTTAGCTGTTCCTCCTGTAGTAGAACAAGTTCCCCACTAATTCAGACCACAGCCTCTTCATGTTGTTGTTGTGGTTTTGGACCAGACGGTGACTCAGTCCCTGCAGGGCCATGACCTCGTGTAGAAGCTGTGTGTTAATGTGTGAAAGACAGCAGCTTAGTTATTATATGGCTACATAAACTCTACACAACCTGTCAGAAACAAGTTTCCTGAAAGACTGAAAGCTTTCTGATGGTTTTGTGTCTGACGTTCAGGGTTAGCTTCAGTATTTGTGTGGAAAGAATCATTAGTGGTTCCAGTAGACCTTCTGTTTATTTCATACTCAGAATTAATTATCCAGATGTCTCCAAATTATTCACAAAGGAACAAATCTATCATGATGATTGATTGTTAAAAAAATCAATATGACACAGTCAATACTTTTTTGTGGCAGCAGCACGGTGGATTATAGAGCTGTGTATTGGCAAGAATTCATGACAGAGGGGTCACGATACGATATATTCTGATATATTGTGATACTGTAAGCAAGGTGATATATTGCGATATTTATGTCCAAAAATTCTATTAAATAAAAACCTCTTACTGAAAAAAAGAATGAAAAACCAAAATTCATTGTCAGAAAATTCTAAAATTACAGAGACATGCTTTTGATACATTTAGCTGTGTTCTGCTTTGTATGTATTTTATTTTATCCATCCATCCATCCATCCATCCATCCATCCATCCATCCATTTTCTTCTGCCTATCCGGGGTCGGGTCGCGGGGGCAGCAGCTTCAGAAGGGAGGCCCAGACCTCCCTCTCCCCAGCCACTTCTTCCAGCTCCTCCGGGGACCTCCAAGGCGTTTCCTGGCCAGCCGAGAGACATAGTCCTTCCAGTGGGTCCTGGGTCTTCCTCTGGGCCTCCTCCCGGTGGGATGTGCCCGGAATACCTCACCAGGGAGGCATCCTTACCAGATGCCCGAGCCACCTCAACTGGCT